GCCCCCGCCCCGCGGGGGCCCAGCCGGTGCTGTGGGGACAGCTCCGCATGCGGCAGCAAACTGGTTCCTAGCATTGGTGCAGCAGCTAGCTGTGGGGGGACGTGGCCTGGGAGGCCATGGCAGGAGCTGTGCAGCACCCAGAGCTGGTGCATGCCCTGGGGATGGAGCATCCCTTGGGGACAGAGCATGTCCCAGGGGTCCTGCATCCCACCCTTGTCCTGCATCCCCCTGGGTCCTGCATCGCTCCAGGTCGGAGCATCCCCCCAGCTTGGTGCATCCCCAGGTCCTGCACTCCCCAGGCTGGCTCGGTGTATCCCTCCTCGTTGGTGCATCCCCTGGGGTCCAAGCATCCCCCCAGGCTGGTGCATCCCCTCAGATCCTGTATTCCCCAGGTCAGCACATCCCCCCAGGTCAGAGCATCCTCCCAGGTCAGGGCATCCCCATCCCAGCCGGGAGCCCCGGGATTCTCCTCTGCCTCCCTGTGGAGCAGGAGGCAGCAGCAGGTCGCGGCAGCCGGTGCCGGTGATGGCAGCGCCCTGGCTGCAGCAGTTCCATCTGTTTTGTTGTTGTTGTTGTTGTCACTAATGGTTCTCTATTTACATTGCATTTTCCAGCCCAAGCCCCCCCCAGGTGCAGAATCCAACCCCCAAGTGTCCCTGGGGAGCCCATCCGTCTGCTCCCCATTTAGGCGGCACAAATAAAAATCTCCCAAACTAAATTAAGCAGCGCGAGACCATCCAGCACATCCTGAGAGCGTCATCAGGGAGGCAGGAAGGCAAAGGCAGCTGTAAAAGCTTGGAAAACCTCAGCGAGCCACTTCTTCCCTGCCACTGGACCTCTAGCTGCTCTAACATCCCTTCACAGGGTGACCAGAACTAAGGATCCCATTCTGGGGAAGAAGAGTGGTTTTCTTCCCACCTTGCCACCTGGAGTGCTGGCAGGGGCAATCATGAAATAGTTGTGGTTGGAAAAGACCTTTAAGATCATCGAGTCCCAGTGCTGAGCTCCAGGGATCCCTCACCCCTCGCTTCCGAGGCTGGGACAAAGCTGCTGCACCAACTTCAAGGGATTGTGTACCATTTTGTGACAACAGACACCAAACTGTAGTCTTGGGGACTTTCTGGCAGAGCACAGAGCTCTGCCGCATCTATGTGCGGGTGGCAATAGAGTGTCGGGCTCAGCCCCTTGGGGACAGGAATGGCCCTGCACTGGAACAGGACACAGGACATGGCCCAGGATGGATGAGTGCTACTGGCACTTTGCACTGCAGTCAGTGAGGCACCGCCAGCCTGGCACTGGGGCTGGGGACACCCTGCTACTGACCTTGCCCCCCACAGGGGACAAAGGTGTCCCTGGGAGATGTGGTGGTACCTGCCAGGCCGGTCTCCACAGCAACCCCCGCTGATGGCAGTGTGATGCCATGCAGAGGGTTTGTCACCGCGGGGTTGTCATGGCAGTGGCTGGCAGATCCCAAGCAGGCACTGCTGCTTGCCAGCCCTGCCACCCCTCCGGTTCTCCCAGCTCCCCCCGCCTCCCTCAGCTGCCCCCCCCAGCTCCCATGCTGGCTGCCACCACACGCTGCCCCCTCGCAGGGACAGCCCTGCCTGTCCCCAAGCTCTGTGCTCTGAGGACAGGGCTTTTCCTGACTCTGCCTCCTGCGTGGGATGAGGGTGAGAACCCACGAAGGGCAAATCCTGGGATTACTGCAGCCCCCTACGGCGTGCAGGGACAGCGTGGCTCCACCATGGACCCCAGACTGCTCCTGATCCCAAAACAATGTACATCCCAAGCCATCGTACATCCCGAATCGCCACGCATCCCGAACCACCATGTATCCCAAACCACTACACATCTCCATTACCACACATCCCAAATTACCTCGTATCCTGAACTACCACACATCCCAAACCACTCTGCATCTTGAACCAAATTCTGAACCCAAACCACCATGTAGCCTGAACCACCGTGTATCCTGAACCACCACACACCCTGAATTGTGCATCCCCAACTGCTACGCATCTAAATTGCCACACATCCCAAACCACTGTGTATCCTGAACTGCCATGCATCCCAAAACCACCACACACCCTGAAATCTGATGCATCCTGAACCACCATGGATCCTGAACCGCCCTGCATCCCGAACCATCGTGCATCCCAAACTGCCCTCCATCAACTTGAGTGGCCACACATCCCAAACCACCCTGCATCCCCCACACATCCCAAACCACCACGCATCCTGAACCACCACACATCTTGAACTGCCACACATCCCAATGGTCATGCATCCCAAGCCACCCTGCATGTCCCAGGCATCCCCACACCCCCACCAGCCCCAGCCCCTCTCACCTCTCACACACTCGGACCGTCCAGGCAGCAATGATCCAGAGGGAGATGCTGAAGACCAGCAGCACCGTCCCGGGGCAGATGGTCATGAGGGTCTTCATGACAAAGCGGGTGTTGAAGTTGATCTTGTTGAGGGCCCCGATGCTGCGGGACGAGGCGTCGGTGAAGAGTTTGCTGTGCAGCAGCATCACCCGCGCGATCAGGTAGAGGCGCAGGAACATGGGGATGGACAGGATGATGTCCACGTCGGCGTCGGCCACCGAGGCGGCGTAGGTGAAGGCCAAGCGGGCCGTCCAGGTGAAGAGGTACTGGCCAGGGATGGGGTGGATGGCACAGACACATGGGGATGGACAGGATGATGTCCACGTCTGCCTCTGCCTGGGAGGGCGTGTAGGAGAAAGCCAGGCGAGCTGTCCAGAAAAATTTGTACTCCCCAGGGATGGGGTGAATGGCACAAACCAGCATCTCCAGGCTGATATAGAGGATGCGCTCATACGTCATCGCTATCCGCCAGTCGTCGGCTCCGTTGTCGATCACAAAGAGCTGCCAGGATGCAAAACCACAGTCACCAGTGGCCCTGGATACCCTGCCCCACCAGCACCCTGCCACAGCCTGGAGGGGACAGACACCACAGACCCTCAGAGCTTGTGATGGCTTCTGACAGGGGAGTTGGGGTGGATGGGGAAAGAGAAGGTGGGAATGAGCCTTTGCCATCCCCTCCACGGCTCTGCCGGCGCATCCAGGGGGTGGTTACAGAGCAGGGAACACCCTGGAAATTTGATTGGCGACAGCCAACATGGCTTCAGTAAAGGAAAATCATGTCTGACCAATTTGGTGGCCTGGTGTGACAAAGCTACAAAGATAATGGCAGAGCAACTGACGTCATCTACCAGGATTTGTGCAAGGCATTTGAAACTGTCCCACACAACATCCTGGTCTCCAAACTGTGAAGACATGGATCTGACAGATGGACCACTTGGTGAATCACTAATAGGCTGGATGGCCACACCCAGAGAGTTGTGGTCAATGGTTCAGTGTCCCAGTGGAGGCAAGTGATGAGTGGCACTTGTCAGGGGTCAGGACTGGGACCAGTGCTGTTCAACATCTTTGTTGGAGACACGAACAGTGGGATTGAGTGTCTCCTCAGCAAGTTTGCTGATGACACCAAGCCATGTGGAGTAGTTGACACCCTAGAGGGAAGGAATGCCATCCAAAGGGACCTGGGCAGGATGGAGAGGTGGGCCAATGCCCATGAAGGTCAACAAGGCCAAGTGCCAGGTGCTGCACCGGGGTCAGCACAACCCCAGGCACAAATCCAGACTGGGGGCAGAATGGATGGAGAGCAGCCCTGAGGCAAAAGACTTGGAGGTGGTAGGAGATGAGAAGCTGGACATGAGCCACTAGTGTGCACTGGAGCCCAGAGGGGCAATTGTGTCCTGGGCTGCATCAGGAGAATGTGACCAGTCGGGCTAGGGAGGGAATTCTGCCCCTCTGCTCTGCTCTGGTGAGACCCCACCTGGAGTGCTGTGTCCAGCTCTGGAGCCCTCAGCACAGGAAGGGCACAGAGCTGTTGGAGAGGGTCCAGAGAAGGGCCACGAAGATGAACAAAGAGCTGGAGCAGCTCTGCTCTGGAGCCAGGCTGGGAGAGTTGGGGTGTTGAGCCTGGAGAAGAGAAGGCTCCAGGTAACCTTAGAGCAGCTTCCAGTGCCTGAAGGGGCTCCAGGAAAGTTGGGGCTTTTCACCAGAGAGGGCAGTGACAGGACAAGGGGTGATGGTTTTAAACTGAAAGAGGGGAGATTTAGGTTGGACATCAGGAAGAAATTCTTCACCATGAGGTTAGGAAGGTGCTGGAACAGGTTGCCCAGGGAGGTTGTGGAAGCTCCATTCCTGGAGGTGTTCAAGGTTAAGTCGGATGAGGCTTGTGCAGCCTGGGCTGGTGGGAGGTGGCCCTGTTCAGAGCAGGGAGGTTGGAACCTGAGGATCTTTAAGGTCCCTTCCAACCTCAACTATTCCATGATTCTATGAAAGCTTTAGGGTGCTCAGCCTGGAGCACACACCCAGGACTGGCACAGGGACAGTCGGCATCAACCTGCTCCCACCCGACCCGATGCCACCAAGATGGGTGAGCCCTGGAGCCACAGAACACCAGCATGGGCCACCCCAGCCCCTTGGCTCCCGCCAGCACTGTCCCAGTGTCATCCCATGCCCCGGGTGTAAGGACAAGTTTTTGGGGGGGGGGGAACACCACAGCTGGAGCCACCGGCTGCTGCTGGTGGGATGGGATGTGGTTGTCATAGCAACCACTGGTTCATCCTGGGTACCAGCCCCTCTGGAGACAGAGTTGGGGTCTCTGATGCCACCAGACCCCAGGGGTTACCTGCCCCAGCAGCCTCAGGAAGGACAAGCTGAGGCAGGAGAGGGGCTTGTCCCCAGTGTGACGGGGACACCAGGGTCACCTACAGCAGCAGGGACACATTCAGGGCCTCTCTGAGCAGCGCTTGGCAAAGACACGGCTGGGAAGGGATCCAAGGGGGAGGTAGCAGCTGGCGTGACCGTCACCAGTGTGTCCTCGACCCCACAAAGCACAGAGTGAGCCCGGCTCATAGCGGGGGCCGGGAGCTCTGGCTGCATCCCGGCTGGCACCACGCCCGGGAACAACCCTCCCGCTCTGCCGGATGCCCCGGAGCACCGGCACGGCAGGACACACGGGGCCGTCCCCGGGGACGGCAAGACCCACCGCGACTGACTCACAGAGCGGCCGTTCCCGGCCACCTCCCCTTTTATTTGGAAAGCTCCGCTCCTTTTAGCTGCTTTGTTTGAGAAATTGTTTATAAAAAACGCTCCAAGCTGTCAAGGGAGATCCTCAGCCCATTCCTTCCTGGAAAAGGGTGTGAAAAATAAACACGCTGGCAAGAGGAAAAAGGCAGGGAGGCTTTGGGCTCCTGGGGGTGGGCAACGGGCTGGGGAAGGGAAGAAGCAAGGGGGGGTTCAAGCAGGTTTCCCCCGCGCCAGCCCCTCGCAGCCCTGCGGCGCATCGCTGCGGGTTTCCATGGAAACCTCGATCCAGCGCTACCCGCTGGGGCATCCCCAGCATCCCCACATCCCAGCATCCCCACATCCCCCATCCCCATCTCCCAGCATTCCCCTATGCCACATCCCCACATCCCAGCATCCCCCTATACCACAGCCCCACATCCCAGTATCATCACATCCCTGCATACCAAGCATCCCTAATATCCCACAACTCTGCATTTCCACACCCCCACATCCCCGTATCCCACATCTTTGCATCTCACATTCCCAGATCCAAACATCCCCACATCCCTGCATCCCACAACTCCAGATCTCTGCATCTCTGCATCCCCACATCCCCCCATTCCCAGCACCAGCTCTGGCAGGGGAAGGAGGAAGCACATTGGCCACCACAGCTCTGGACAAGCAGAGAAGCCACACGGGGGGAAACCTTCACCCACTGACACGCAGCAGGAGCCGCGGGCAGCCCGGGGCAGGGACAAGGAGGCTGTGCCCCCCAACATCCCTCTAGAGCCAGCAGCCTCAGCACGGTGCTTGGTCCCAGCACAGCAGTGCCAGGGCCTGCCCAGGGCACCAAGCAGAGCCAGCCCTGGAAACACCAGGACTGGGTGAGCACTGGCCCAAGGGCGAGGACCCACGGTGCTGCCAGCAGCACTTGGCACACCCCGACCTAACCAAGAGCCAACAGAAGGCAGAGCTGGGAGACTGGGGGTTGGTGGGGTGATGGGCACAGGGACATCTCGGGGACCTCCCAGCTGATGGAGTGACAACAGGCAGCTAGAGTGGGGACAAGCAGGACCCCAGGGGCTGGACTCAGAGGCACAGAGATGCCTGAGAAACTGAGATCTGGAAATGGTCCAAAGGACTCATCAACTAATGCAATTAACACTGAGGGAAGAGGCTGAAGCTACTGTCAAGTCTTTCCTGGGGGCCAGGGAAGTCTGGCCGTGCCCCAGCAGTGCCCAGCAATGCCCTGGTGGGGTGAGAAGCCAAGGATTTACAGCCCTGCCAGTCATGCACCCGGCCCGGCTGGATCACCAGTGATCCTGTGATAAGCACCGGAGGGATAACAGGGCAGCCTTGTCTGGAGCAAATCAAGTCCCATCCCAACCCCTTCCCTGCCCACTGGAGCAGCCATGGCTGGACTGTGGCATTCGGCACCTGCCCCGGCACAGCGGGACCCTGCAGAGGGAAGACAGTGGTATTTTGGGGAGCAGAACCCCACAGAGGGACAGCAGTGGGGATCTTGGGGAGCAGGACCCCATGGAGGGACAGCAGTGGAGATTTCAGTTCAGGTGGGTGTTGTGTTTGCACAACCCTCCTCCAAGAACACGCAGCAGAAGCCTGCAAGTGCCCAGGTGCAGCCTGACTGACCCCAACTGCAGTCTCCCCTGGGGTAAATATTATTCCAGCAAAATCCAGAGATCTCAAATATTTGCTTTGAGCAACCACTGCCGGGCTCGCTCCCTGGGCAGGTCCTTGGCAGGCAGGAGACAAACAGGGAGGGGAGTTCCTGCCTCGAGCACCCCCAGCCAAGCTGCCCTGTCCCACAGCCTCGAGGGGCTGAGGTGGGATCCTTGGAGCACCCAAACCTGGCACTTTGGGCTGGGGTTGTCAGCGTCCACTCCCAGGATGTTCCGTGTTCTCGGGGGCGATACGTCCCTCCCCTCCTCAAAACCTGCCGGCGCTGTGCCGGAGCCGGATCCTGCCGGGAAGCGCAGCCTTCCTGGTGCAAACTGCGAGCCCTTTCATTTCCCAGCAACACCAGGGCAGGCAGGGAGGAAGAGACTGGGCAGCCCTGATTAGGAAAGGATTTCACAGCTTTCCTTGGCACCTCGGCCACTCTGAGCCCTTCCTGCCTGCAGCCCCCTCCAGCCACCAGCAGCTCCGCCAGTCTCTATCCCTCCAGACCCTTCGCCATCCCCCTCAAGACCCCAGCAAGGAGGGAGGAGGCTCCGTGCAGGCTGCAGGCTCAGGCTCTGCATCCCACTGGAGTGACTGACAATCCTACCCCAGCCATCCCACCCAGGCTCTGCATCCCACCAGAGTGATGCCAATCCCATATCCCATCCCAGCCATCCCACCCTGTCAGTCTCTGCTTGGCAGGGGTGCCACTGGGACCTACCTGCACCTCCCGTGTGTGGTAGGCGACGATGAGGCCCAGCAGGATGACAGTGGAGAGGCTGATGAGGCATTTCAGGGCCAGGGAGAACATGGAGCCCTGCAAGGCAGAGCAGGGTGGGTGTCAGGGGGGACACAGCAGAGGAACCCTCCAGCCTGAGCCCCACGTGGCAGCACCCTAACTGATGGTATAATTAGATCCTCCTGCAAATTAGCTTTATGTAAATTAAAACAGCCCCTGATTCACTGGTGAGGGAGGTGGCTGCTCCCGGGCACCCTGGGAATTGCTGGATGCTCCATGTCCTCCTCCAGCTCCCCTCCAGATCCCACTTCAGTTCTGGGTGAGCCCACACTGCCGCTGGTCATGACTTGGCCCTGCTGGTGCTGGGGCACCTTCCAAGTACCTGCAGCCCCACACCAGGGTGTCATCCCCAGACCAACCTGCCCTGTCACAACAGTCCCATGTCTCCACCCCAGCCCAGCACACTGAGAGCTGGCACACTCACAGCATGCTGAGACCCAGCACACACACAGCACTCCAAGACCCACCCAGCACACTCATGACACCCTAAGACCTGGCACACTCATGGCCCCTCGCCCCCTCCTTGGCTCCCCAGGCTGCCCCCAGCCCCTCAGCCCCCCAGTGTCCTCATCCTGGCAGGTCGGTGGCACGTGGTGGGGACCGTGTGTGGTGGCGGCAGCAGCGCATTGTTCAGGGCTTGGCTCCGGCTGCCCAATTGTGTGGATATAATGGCTGGTGCTGAGAGAGGCACCGGCCACCAAACCATGGCTATTAATAGTTAAACTCCAGGGCAGGGCTGGTGCCACAACCAGACCCTTCCCGAGGGCACTAATCCTGCCTGAAGCCTGG